TTTGAGTGTTCCATATGCTGCCGTGCCTTCAGAGAACGCTCTCATCTAAAAGTACACATCAGAACTCACAATGTCCCTGTGAAGCAGAGAACACCATCACTCCAGAGCTACAGAGACAACAGTGTGTCCTGTAATAAGTCAAGGAAGTCAAGGTCAAATCCCTTTCCAAAACAACCAACTGCGCAAGATGATACCAAGTCAACAAAGTCAACAGAGTCAACAGTGCACCAAGGTCAAAATATTCTTACAGAGAATATGTCATGTCAAAAAATGATTGGTCACTGCAGTGATCCAGATGTATATTTGCAAGATTCTCTTCTAAATGAAGGAGGTTTGGATCTTAACACTGGACAGAGTTCTGCATATTCTTCCAAACTTTCAGAAGGCCAGTGGATGGAGGAAAACCAAGAAAATGAGGAGGAACAAGAAGCCAGTGTCACAACACAAAGTGAGGACAAGGATGCAAATGTGAAGGTGTTGCAAAGTAAGAATTCTAATAGACAAAAAAGAGTTTATGATTGCCCTGTGTGCCAGAAACGATTTGGTGCTCCATCCAAACTAAAAAGGCATTGTCTTATTCACACAAATCAGAGACCATTTCAGTGTTCCATATGCTGCAATGCCTTCAGAGAACGCTCTCATCTAAAAGCACACATCAGAACTCACAATGTCCCTGTGAAGCAGAGAACACCATCACTCCAGAGCTACAGAGACAACAGTGTGTCCTGTAATCGAGCATCTAAGTCAAGGTTAAAACCCTCTCCAAAGCAACCAACTGCCCAAAATGATACCAGTTCAACAGATAAACAAAAGTCAACCGTGCACCAAGATCAAAATATGGTTCCAGATGATATGCCATCTCAAAACATGAGTGGTGACTGCAATAATTCAGGTTTATATTTCTCAAAAAGTACTAGTCCTTTAGAGAAGTCAGAGGTTGTTTTCCGGTGCAACAACAAATCAGTTTGGGGTATGACAGATGAAACTGACATCTTGCTTGATGGGAAAAAGGCATCTGACATCGTGCCTTTTGGCAGGGTGAGTGACTGTCCACCCAAAACTGACTCATCTCTCCATCACTGTGCTTCTGAATCAAGAATTGAAGAAAAATGGGCACATCACATGGATGATATTGAAGATTGTGTCTTCGTGGACTCGGACACTGTTAAATGTGTCCCTGATTCTTACGAGCCCAGTTCTTGCCTGTATCAACAGAAACCTGATGTGCCCGGACTCAGAGAAATTGTTGTTGTGGGCCTTTTGGACTTTCAGGATCCAGGTGAATGCTTTACCAAACCTCCACATGACCTTCCCGTTTGTCCTGACTGTAGTCAGTGTTTCCCTACGATAAGGAGCTTATATGCTCATAAATGTGCAAACAGATATTCTGAAGGGAAAATAAAGAAATCCCACCAGTGTGACATTTGCTTAAAATTCTTCAGTGCACCATCCAAATTGAAGAGACATTGTGTTACTCACACTGGTCAGAGGCCGTTCCAGTGCACACAGTGTCAGAAGTCCTTCACGCAGTCCCATCATCTGAAAACACACATGCTGTCCCACAGGTAGAAGGGTTACTCTAGGGTTGCCCAAAGATATGACCAAACCAAAAGGGTTTTCACTGTAAATTAGTTGTGTTCTATGTAGTTTTTTGCTAAACAGAAACAGAATTTGAAACCATAATTACTGTAAATAATGTCTTATGACAAATTTTGTTCTTTATTTTATTTTTACATTTTTGGATTTCCTGTTACAGTATGATGTAACCATATATTTGTGTGTGGAAAAAAAAAACGAAATTTAAATTTCCCAATTTAAATGTTGGTTGTTCCATTGTTTGTTTGTTTGTTTTTTTACAAATAAAGTCATTTGCAGCACTGAAAGAAATGTACATCAGATATCATTACAACATGGCATTTGACCATCTATTTGTAATTTTTCAGACTTATAAACTCTTGCTATTATTCATTCATTTTATTCAGTTGTCTACTACACAATGGTGATCATAGTGTGGTGTCATTTGCAGTAGTTCCATGTATGTCCACTAGATGGTGTAATTTGTTTTCTCACCCTTAGCAATTGTACACTTATGGTTCACCGCAAATGTCTATATCACTGAAATGATATATCATTATGGCTTTTACAGAGCTACCAATCAGGTATAGTATAGTATATTATATATAGTATAGTATGGCTGACATTAATGTATATTCTATATAAAAGCCATAAGCCTATCAACATATATTATACATTACTTTTTAAACTTAACCTTCTTTTTGTAATCTTCTTGAGTCCTTGCAGTTCCCTTCAGTAGCCTAGAAGTAATATGAGTTGAGAGGTTAGAGTTTAAGTAGGAAACTATATTTTAAAAAATCCTAGGTCAATCTAACCAAATATTTCCTTAAAAGAGGAGTGTTTGTTTATTTAATTATTAGATTATTTTTACTTCAGCAACCCAAAGTCCAATCATAATAATGGCTCATCGCTAACAAGAAATCACTCTGTGTACCTGTAGGCTTTATTCAAGTTTAATAAGTGTCTGCTGTACCTGGGGACAAGTTCACCTCACTGGACAAACTTTTTATGGTATGTATTAAACTCTGATTGGTTTCATTAAAATAGTGGAAAAATAGGGGATTTTGTTTAGTCCTCATGTCACAAAATTAATAAAGTTAGAAAATCATTATGAGAATACATAGCCATGTCACCTCCACTACCTTTAATTCCCAGAAGAGGTGTTTATCGTGACACTAGTATGTCAAAATTTTGGAATATTGCTTACTCAAGGGGGGGGGGATCTTCATTCAACAATCAACCAATCTAATCTTTCACAAGATACTTTAAATATCACATGACATGTCATAAATCTGTTGTGGGTTAGTTCACACTCTTATAAGTATTCAAGTTACATTCTAGGTCACCGTCAGATTAAGCTTTGTTCTCATCATTTACATTTCTCTTGAGGAGGTTAACACAAAGTCTAATCCAATGAAAAGTCTCTATCTGATAGGATCATCAAGTCATTTAGGTCAAATACATTGTTAAATGTCGGCTAATGATGTTTTATGGTGAGACAAAAGGATTTTGTTTATCCCGTCTAATATATCCACAAATGCTTGTTCAAGCACTATAATTTCATAGTCATGTATTGCTTTTCTGCTCTTTAATGCATGACCCAGAGCAATGAGTGGATATTGTCCTGCCAAGCGGATGAACATTTAACATGCAACTCACAACTGGCAGGTCATTAGTGCAACAACAAATGGCTTCACTAATACTTACTATGCTGATTCAGAATTAGGGAACTTGCGCTGCGTCCTTTAGCAGACACTTTGGGGACTGCCGCCAGCAGGACCGGTGTCTGAAGCACATGAGAAACAACTCCAATCCCATTGGCTCATGTAGCCTGTGACATCACAGACGGGTGCCCGGAAGTATAAGTGGGCGCCTGCCAAAGACATCACTTTTGTTGTCTTCAGTAGCTGTTTGACAGTGCGTGTGAAGGCGTTATGGAGAAAACCAAGGCAGGTGAGCATTTTAGAAAGTGTGTGCCTCCGTGTCCTAGGTTTCTGTGCTGTCGTGCCTTCAGAGAACGCTCTCATCTAAAAGTACACATCAAAACTCACAATGTCCCTGTGAAGCAGAGAACACCATCACTCCAGAGCTACAGAGACAACAGTGTGTCCTGTAATCGAGCATCTAAGTCAAGGTTAAAACCCTCTCCAAAGCAACCAACTGCCCAAAATGATACCAGTTCAACAGATAAACAAAAGTCAACCGTGCACCAAGATCAAAGTATGGTTCCAGATGATATGCCATCTCAAAACATGAGTAGTGACTGCAATAATTCAGATTTATATTTCTCAAAAAGTACTAGTCCTTTAGAGAAGTCAGAGGTTGTTTTCCGGTGCAACAACAAATCAGTTTGGGGTATGACAGATGAAACTGACATCTTGCTTGATGGGAAAAAGGCATCTGACATCGTGCCTTTTGGCAGGGTGAGTGACTGTCCACCCAAAACTGACTCATCTCTCCATCACTGTGCTTCTGAATCAAGAATTGAAGAAAAATGGGCACATCACATGGATGATATTGAAGATTGTGTCTTCGTGGACTCGGACACTGTTAAATGTGTCCCTGATTCTTACGAGCCCAGTTCTTGCCTGTATCAACAGAAACCTGATGTGCCCGGACTCAGAGAAATTGTTGTTGTGGGTCTTTTGGACTTTCAGGATCCAGGTGAATGCTTTACCAAACCTCCACATGACCTTCCCGTTTGTCCTGACTGTAGTCAGTGTTTCCCTACGATAAGGAGCTTATATGCTCATAAATGTGCAAACAGATATTCTGAAGGGAAAATAAAGAAATCCCACCAGTGTGACATTTGCTTAAAATTCTTCAGTGCACCATCCAAATTGAAGAGACATTGTGTTACTCACACTGGTCAGAGGCCGTTCCAGTGCACACAGTGTCAGAAGTCCTTCACGCAGTCCCATCATCTGAAAACACACATGCTGTCCCACAGGTAGAAGGGTTACTCTAGGGTTGCCCAAAGATATGACCAAACCAAAAGGGTTTTCACTGTAAATTAGTTGTGTTCTATGTAGTTTTTTGCTAAACAGAAACAGAATTTGAAACCATAATTACTGTAAATAATGTCTTATGACAAATTTTGTTCTTTATTTTATTTTTACATTTCAGTAGCTGTTTGACAGTGCGTGTGAAGGCGTTATGGAGAAAACCAAGGCAGGTGAGCATTTTAGAAAGTGTGTGCCTCCGTGTCCTAGGTTTCTGACACCCGAGGACACACACGATCTATGTGTTATCTGTCTTGGTGTGGAGCACGCGCGTTCAGTGCTCGAGGGCTCTGAATGTGCTCTTTGTGTCAAGTCTTCCTCTGAAACCTCTGAGGGGGCTAGTCCGTCTCCTTCCCCTTATCCCTTTACTTCCCCTTATCCCTTGAGCGTAGCCACAGGGTTTTTAAGTGGACGGTCCTCCTGAGCCCTGCATGTTGCTTTGACTCGTTGTAACATAGCCTTCTGAGGGTACCTGTGTTCCTAGCTTGGTTAATGGAGTGACCCTCCTGTTTGGCTGGGTTCCCCATTTTTCCGATTTATGTTAGTGGCCTCGGGCGTCTATGGCTTGCCCCCTTTCTGAGGAAAGGTTCGGTGTATGTCTGTAGCTTCCCTTGGTGCTTTCTCACCGGGCATGCACCACGGTATGGCTGAGTGGGCATTCCGTTCCCCATAGTGTCTGCTAGAGGATGCAGCGCAAGTTCCCTAGAAGGGGAACGTCTCGGGTTGCGCATGTAACCCGAGAGGGAACGAGACGCTGCGTCCCCTCACCATGCCTAGGGCTTGCCGGTTTTCATGTCTCCTTCAGACAACCAAGTTGGTGACGTGTTTGGCAGGTGCATGCCCTCTTATACTTCCGGGTGCCTGTCTGTGACGTCACGGACTATGTGAGCCAATGGGATTGGAGTTGTTTCACATGTGCTTCAGACACCGGTCCTGCTGGTGGCAGTCCCCAAAGTGTCCGCTAGAGGATGCAGCATCTCGTTCCCTCTCGGGGAACCATGGTTACATGAACCAGTTCACAAAACAGTTCAGAAATTGACCCAAATTAGTCCAAGCTGTTCTGGACTAATTCTAATGTAGATGCAAATTATATAGGTTTTAAATGGCTCTATGTTTTTGTGAGCTGAATCATGGATGCAACAAGCTGAATAAAATGCAAACAAGTAATATGTACCTGGAATATGGCAAGGACAAAATGGTGGCAAAACAATCACTGAATAATTTTTTTAGCCTTTTCTTAAAATGAGAAATGAACAGTTTGAAATAACTAATTCATGAGTTATTTTCCATTAGTTGATTCTGCCTAGTCTTTCCCATGTCAGCAAGTGGCAAATCTTACCAATCAGTAAGGCGAGGCACAGTCTAAGTCAAACACACATAATATTTTTGCAATTCACGTTGACATCTATTGGGTGTCTTGTCTCATCAGACTTTTTGTGCATCAGTGCAAACCGAGTGAAAGGTTAAGATCCATTTAAGATGAAACAAGTGATAGCCAACTGGGTCTTTTGTGCTATTCTGTGATTGAAGTCAGCAGCTGAATATGGTGAACCTCTTGTGTTGAGAGCAGTTGGTACACTCTGCTAAAGACAGAGCACAGCCTGCAGCATGGATGAAAAAAAGCAATAATATGTCCATTGTTTAGTTCTGATAATTACCATTTATATTTTTGTCATTGGAGTTAATGTCTTCAGCTGTAGCACAGCAAATCATGATGTGCTACAGGACTGAATGGTGTCAACATGTGTAAATTCTCCCTTGCTATATCTGAGCACTCTGGACTGGCTGTCCAAAACCTAAAATTTGTGACCTTATCAGGCTGTGTCTGAAGGTATGACACTTTCATGCAGATCCATATGTCTGCAGTGAAAGATTAAGAAGCTGTACATTTGGAATCTTCTCAAAATGAGAAGCTGAAACTTTTTAGACAAGGTTCAAAGTTGATAACTTCAGAGCATCAAAAAAAAACCTCGCTGTAAATCTGAGTTTTTGTTAAACACTCTATTCAACTAAAATCCCTAGAGCTCAGATGTTCTCATTTTCCTGTAGTGTATGCCCAGTTGTGCGTGCAGGTTCAAGCGCTCTCTCTGTGATGT